TCACACCGGCGGTGTGTCGGTGGTACAGCTGCACGGGGGGAGGAGGTAAACAGCGCGGCATTCTCTCAGCTACTTTGCACCTTGTCTTTTTTAGCAGGCGTTTTACAGCACCGTAATGATGGAGCAGCGCATTTATCTGGGAGAACGTGTACAGAGAATATAAAGATATGTTGCTTTTGCTATTGAAAAGTTTATTGTTACAACTCTGCTATTTGGGATTAATTGCATATGATTAACATTCCTGGCACTCGGCATGCAGGGTTTGTTTTGGGGTGGATTTCTTTTGGTTTCTCATTGCACTTAATAAAGTCAGAATTTAAATACTTTTAATTACTTTCCAACGTTGGCAGCGAAATGGTGTGGACTGGGTAGGGGAACAATGAAATCCTGCTTTCCTGGTGATACTGTTTGGCCGACGTTGCCTGAATTAGGTTGCAATCCCTGCAGCGGAAGAAGATGTGGTTATTTGAATGCCCCCGCCGCAGCTGGATGGTGCCAAGGCTGGCTGAGAGCGTGCAGCCTCTTTTTTGTGTGTGTGTTTCTGTCATTTTTTCTTTTCTTTTACTTTTCCAGCCTATTCCTCTCCCCTCACCTCCTTCATCTTTCACATCCTACCCATTCCCTAGCAGACTGCCTCTGGTTTCCCACCCCCTTTCCTCCTTGCCCTCCTCCCCACACCCTTTTCTACTTCTAGGCACTCCACATTTTGCAGGAGCCAAGGCTCCTTCCAGCCTCAGACAGAGCAGGCGGAACAGGTTCAGTAATGTGATCGTTCCTCACGTGGAAGCAACAGTTCTGCCAGAAAAACTCGCAGACCCTTAAATCAGACTTTTGACAGGTCTCCTTGCAAGGCTTTTAAGTTCCTTGATCTGTCACTATTAGCTGGAGAAAAGAAGCGTTTAAGAATTTTTTGAGCTTGGTTAGGACAGTTCATCCTGGGGAGGAATGCAGGCTTAACCTCAGAAATTGCCAAACTGCACGAAATCCAGCCACCACAGGGTCTGGGATCTTGTGTCCAGGAGTGACCAGCTCCAGGTCTTTTAACAGAAGGTATGGCCAAGCAAACACAGAGTAGTCCGTTCCCATAAAAGACTTCAAGATTTAGGAATTTTTTTGTTGGGTTGATGTTCCTTCTGATATGCATTTTAGCATTAGCTATGATCATTCTGGGTAGTTTTCTTTTCCCTACAGATATACTGTTTTTAATCTTCAAACCTTCTTGGATTCCTCCATCCCACAGCAGTGAGCTGGTCAGAAATAAACATTTCTTTTTATCAGCTGTATATCTGCTGTCACTTTCAATTTCTTGATTCACCACTGTTCTTCTTTCATGACACCATAAAATAAAATAAAAAAGCCCCTTCTCAGGAGCATCATTATTTGTCATTTTGCACTTTCATCACCTCTATCCTTCCTAGTCGTGAGCTGTCCCTTGGAGTCCATGTGAGCCAGGACAGAATCCATACTGACCATCATGGGCAACCCACAGTTCTTAGAAGACTTCACCAGGACTCTCTGTAATGGCTGCAGACAAGACTTAAAGACAGCTGAACTTTAAAGCACCCAGCATGAAGGTCCATAGGATGAGGCTGAAGGCATTACAAAGGCTGGAGCACTCACTCTCCAAACTCCAAATCATCAAACATAGGTTTTACTTTGCTTAGAGTTCTTCAAAGAGCTCAGCGCAATAGCAATGAAGAATGTTGATTTAAAAGGAACAAATTTTGGCTTAGTGCAGCTTGTCCGGTTTGCCTCCAAGTTTCTTGTGCTGGATCTATTTGCCTTATGGAAATTAAAACCTCTGTAGGCTCCCCCAACAGTGCAGATAAACCCTTTTTAGAAGTCTGAATATCAACTTAGATTCGCAAGAGCTCTTGGAGGTTGGAGACTATAGTTAATAGATAAACATGAATTACAATCGCAAACTGCTATAATACTGTCAAAATTTTTCTCTTTACCTTTTCCTCAGTCTTCTGAAAAGCAGAGATGAAAGCCTTCCCAAGCAAATTGTTAGAAGTAATGACTGGCTCACATATTTACTGGCACAAACAGGGAGAAGACCAAAATCTGCTAGTTAAAGGTTTAGACGGTGCCATTTCCTCTGCTTAATCACACAAAGTGAGAGTTTCATATATAATAGCAATAGGAAAGGGGACTTAAAGAACTTTTTCTATACAGTGGTTCATTGGAGTCTCATGTAATAACATGATTCCTGTACCTGGGCCTTTAAAAAAAACAGCAAGTATTGTAAAACTTATGGAATAAACAGGTGAGCTATAGTTATAAATATTTCTGATGAGCAGCAGTACCCATTGCTAGCCAGTTTTCCATTGGAGGAAAAAATCAATCCTGTGGACTCATATGATATGAATCTAATTAATTTCGTTTATCCACTTGAACCAGTCTGGAACAGATCATCTCAAACAGCATCTGAACACACCCCTATTCTGAACTCCCAGCCAAAGCCCAAATGTCCTGTTCTCAAAGGGAACTGAGTAGTGACATGAAGTCATGTCATGGTTTAACCCCAGCCAGCAACTAGGCACCACACAGCAGCTCGCTCGCTCCCCCCCGGTGGGATGGGGGAGAGAATCAGAAAAGTAAAAGTGAGAAAACTCGTGGGTTGAGATAAAGACAGTTTAATAGGTAAAGCAAAAGCCGCGCACGCAAGCAAAGCAAAACAAGGAATTCATTCACTCCTTCCCATCGGCAGGCAGGTGTTCAGCCATCCCCAGGAAAGCAGGGCTCCATCACGC